GATATGCACTATAATTGTTTTTTATTTGAAAATCGCTCAAGTATGAACACTGATTCTTGAGCAACAATAGCGGGCGCTGCGGATTGGGTCGGCCGTTTGGCGTATCGACTTGTGCCGTTCAGCGTAGCCGGTACTGTTTAGGATAGACAAACAGACAAATGTTCAGATAGACAGACAAACAAACCAAAATTTTTGGGTCGAAGGTCCCCAAGAAAGACTATAGTCTTTAAAGAACTATCGTCTTTAAAACGCCACGCCTGTGCGAAAGGCGCAGAACAGTCACAGCGAAAGCTAGAAGAGCGGCCTTTCAGCTCGAGTCTTTTCAAAACACTCATTGGGTTACTACTACAATCACACTTGCTCGATACCCACTAGTGCATTAATCATAAACTTTTGGATGACAGGCTGGCATTCGTTGTGCTAATATTCTTCATTCTTCTGAGAAGCGTGGTATTCGCTAAACACTTTCAAGTTTTTTCGTGCCAATTGTTCATGCAGTGGCTAACGACGAGGTATTGTGGCTCAACTAGGTGTGCGCCACAGTTAATAGGAGAACAAGAACAAGCTTTTGTAATGCGTTGAAGCATTGAATGGCCCACTCGTTACGTTATTTGCATTGTTTGACGGCTGGTTGTTTTCTCACTGTTTCAAAACGCTTTATAAGTCGTATTGCCGTGATTGCTTTCCCGACATCAAGCCTGCATAACGCAAGTTTGCCAACAAGTCACAAGGTTTTATCAAACTTCACCGTACGCCCACGCTTGTGGTGATTCATGCAGGAAGTTTACCTCGCAGTTCAGTTCCTTAAGCTCGCTTTTTTGTAGAATACTTGTAGAATACTTTTTTGTAGAATACTTTTTTGTAGATCCTTGCGCAAGGTGCTGCAAGGATCTACTGAGTACACTGTTCCCACCTCTGTTGTACCACTCACTGTACTCCAATCTTCCAGGCCATGATTTGTTGAAGCGAGTGCGCAAAATGTACATTCCAGCGAATTCAAAAGCGTTCTTTTATAAACTCTACTATAAAATATTGGCGATGAACACATGGTTAAAAAGAAAATATATTTTTATTCTGTCTGTCAACTGCCGTCTGTGTGATGTGCCAGAAACAATTTAACAGTGCTTTGTTAGCTGCAAAATGCTATACTGTTTCTGGATGTCCTTCAGCGAGCACTATGAAAAACGGTTCATCATTAATTCTCACAAATTATGTTATCGTGTACCAGCAGCGCTTGATGAAGCGCCATATGATATGTTTTTCCACATGGGCATGCATAGCTTGTGGAAGACATGAATGCAAGCTCACAATGCAGAGCCCACACACTTCATTCAAATGGCTATTCACATCAAAAACATTCACGACGAGCTAGTCTTAAGACCAGACTGGTACTCCATCTTGGAGAGCTGTTTGACCTCACCCCTTTCTTGTTTGCATAACACGATGTGAGAAACTCTGGATGTGAAGAACTGACGCTGTGTTAGCCATTCAGTGTTTATAAATAATGGTTTAGCGCTTATTGTCACCATTTGATTGTACTTTTGTTTGCTTGATTTTGTCTTTATAACGCAAATGCTTTATTAAATACCATGAAAAATTCGCGTAGCTCAATGGTGGAATACAGGACTGGCACCCAGCGGACCGGCGTTTGAGCCCCACTGTGTCTTTGGTGCTAGTTTTTGTTTTAACTTCGCGTGATTTGGTTATGGACACCGGTGGTGGCGGACAACTGCGCGTGACCCGAGTTGTGATCTCATAACAACTTCCGCTTTAAAAAAAACGGGCTGTTACTATTTTGCGTAGATTGCCAACAGCTGAACAAGTGTGCAATGCCTGATTCGTACCGCTTATCCCCCATTGACGACGCTGTTGATAGAGTACACCACTGTAAGTTCTTTTCGTGGTGGGATTTACGTGCAGGCTACTGGCGAATCAACGTCACTGAGGTAGATTAACTGAAGACAGCTCTGGCACTCCCTCGGGGTTCTATGAATTCAACCACATGCCGTTCGGATTTCGAAGTGCTCCTAGTACATTTCAGCGCGCGATGTATTCAGTGCAAGGACGTTTCAAGAACCAAGCCTGTGTTGTATGCTTGGATGACAGTCTGGTCGTTGGCAAGGGAGAGGATGAGCATCTTCGCAATTTGGACGAAGTGCACTACAGACTGTATGAGGCGTGGTTCCGTTTGCATTGTGAGAAGTGCCAAATCAACCAGTCCAAGGTTTCATACCTTCAGCATAAAATATCCCCTATCAACATTTAGCCGCTTCCGGAGCGCATCGCCGTTGTGTCGCAGTATCCAACATCAACTTGTTTGAAACAGATGCAGTCATTTGTGAGCATGGCTTCATGTTTGCAAAGGTTTATTCTGCACTTTGCCTCCATCACAGCTCCATTGAGCAATGATCTTCAAAAATACGCACGGTTTGAACGGGGTGCGTTTCAATAAACTGCTTTTCAAACGATAATGCAAAAGCTCACTTGCTTTCCTTTTTTAAGTCACTTCGGTGATGGCTTTGTCACTGATGTTCACACCGACGCCAGCCAAGTTGGTTTAGTGGTAGTGCTAGTGCAGCCGGATCTGGATGGCATAATACATGTCGTCGCTTGTGCCAGCAGGAATCTTTCAGACACCAGAGCCACTACCACTCCAACGAGCTGGAATGTCTTGCGGTGGTACGTATCGATGATAATTTCTGATATCTTTTTGGGCGCAAATTTACGGTGGTCAGTGGTAATGCTGCAATAGATTGGACGCTTTTCAAGCAGCAACTGGAACACAAGTTTGCCCGCTGGATAATCACGCTAAAAGAGTAGAATTTCGACGTGCGACATCGTACCGGGAGGTTCATTAACGTCGCTGATGTCCTCTGATACAACCCTCTTGACATCGTGCACAAATTCAGAGAAAAACGCATATATAAAAACAAATCGATTTCTTCAAAGCCCAACAAGAGGGAAAAACTTGGCATCAATTATGGCGCCTATCACTGCCACGGGAAAAGACAGGAAGTTTGTGATGCACAATGCCACACTTTACCTGCGTCACTGGCAAAAGGATCAGTCAGAGAAGCGCTGCCTCCTGGTTGGTTCCTACATCATTCCGGCCAGAGGTATTGCGAGCCATTCATGACACCCCGGAAGACGGACACACCGGCCAACGAGCCACGCTCCACAAAGTACAGGAATGATTCAAAGCTGCTGAAGATGCAAAGCAGCATCCTTTCTGACATCGCCAGTTGCCAACTCTGTCAGTAGTTTAAGCGACTGAAGGGGTGGCAGCCGGGACTACTGACACCTATTTCGATACTAGAGACTATTTTCCACACAGTCGGCATCGACTACATTGAAACCTATCCACCACCAACGATTTGAACCGCTATATCATTGTATCAGTGGACTACCTGTCAAAATACGTGGAAGTGGAAGCTGTACCATGTCTTGCCTCCACATATCTAATTGATTTCGCGAAGAACCGATTCCAATTTCAATGAAAGCATGGCTTGCAGAAATATAATATCTCATCGGGCTACCACGTATCACAGCCAGTAACTAATAAAATACCTTCGCACGGCAGGTGTGCAGCACCACTACTCATCCGTGGTTCATCCGCAGGCAAAAGGTCTTACAAAGCGCCCACCACAGAGCATCCAGGCATGCCTCGCCCAATTTACAAGAGTACAGAAGAAGGGGAATTTTCATTTCTACTGGAATGTACACCTCCCATCAGCCGCTTTTGCAGCTAACACGGCATTGCAGACATCTACCGGGAAAATGTCATATGAAATATTCTATGAAAAACTGCGTCACTTGAAAGCGGTCCTCAGTTGAGATGCTCCAATCATTCTTACTCGCTTTGACGATCGCAAATCCGCCTGTCAGATGAACAAAACTGCGGCGATCAAAAAAGCTTCCGAAGTGCCAGAATATCAGACGCGCTACTAAGACAGTCGCCGCCATAGAACAAGCTATTTCCTTAATTCGACGAACCATTCATAATCACTGAGTGCGTCGGAGAAAATACCTGGCGTGTGAGCACCTCAGACAGAAATGTCAGTATTGACAAGCGAAATAGAAATAGCTTTGCCGTGCACGTGTTGCGTCTCAAGAAAAAGAAAAAAAAAGAGTCGGACAGCTGCAAGAGAAATGAAGCGTCTTGCGTTTACTTGCTTGTCAGGTCCGCAGAGTGACCAAATGCCATAAAGAGCAGATGGGGCGCTCTGGAGCAGCTAGTGGAGGAAAAGAAAGACTAAGTGGAGCAGACCCGAAAGGCTATGTTAGACAACTTAGGATATATATATATATATATATATATATATATATATATATATATATATATATAGAAGCTGGTACACGTACGAGACAGCAAGCAGTTTCTTTATCGATATACGTTTCAGCTCTCACACGGCCAAAACGTAAATCCATAAAAGAACTGCTTGGTTTCTCGTACGTGTACCGGCTTCTTATACGTACCAGACCCACTGATTACACACACACACACAAACACACACACATATATATAGATTCATACTGTACTGCTTGGCGTACTCACATTTTGGTTCTCTTGTATTAGTCTAACATTTATCTTAGTACAGAAAAAAATAGTTTGATGTTGTTATCATTTGTTAATTGATGCATTTCACTCTCCTTCGCAATGTTTCCTTCGACTGAGGTAAAAACAATAAAATGAAAATATTTGAAATATTGCAGATCCACAAAATACCACCCTACGACTTATTTCAGCACAACTATGGCCACAAAATAATGTTGAAAGTTCTGCATTGCAATACAGGCATTACATACACTGGTCATGTATTGCGTTGTACACTGCGATAGCTTGTTCTTAAATGCTGAACAGAAAATATAGTGCATGCCGCACTGTGTGTTTTTTTCATCGTGAGGGCACGTCCGTTTTTGATACCTTTCACAGACAAGCTGCAAGAAAAATGTATTATTTTGGCTGGTACTATACTTGGCAAAAAAAGACTATAAAGTACCTGCTATCATTGAATTCTGGAAGAGCTGCGTGCGCGAGCATCGTGGTGAACCTCTCATTGGATGGTAGATATTCAGAATTGTTCATTCGAAGCAAGTACTGCAGGCAGGGCAGCATGAACTCATTGCAGGGGTCTTCCATCACAGGCACTTGAACAGTGATCATCGCGATTCCATCAATGAAACCGAATTCCTCGTAGAAGTACCCATGGAAGGAGTCGTGAGCAAAAATATGCAGCGCCAAGGAATAGAGGCAATGGTGCACGGTCAACGCTGCTCCCATAAGCGCCTCCCATGCAGCTACGTGAACTGCGAATAAACGAAATTTTTATTGTAGGAACACCGAACTAAATAAGGTGTATATATTGATAACTAACGCGAATGAACTCGTAGACATGTCCACGATTGATTCAGGTTGCTAAGAAATGCTTCCTTTGTCGCATTTTAGGGTGAACCATACAATATTCGGAAGCTAAAGTTAAAAAAAATAGAGCGTCGCTTGCCTCCCAAAACTACATTACACAAACAAAGAAGTCAGTTTCGCAGCAACGGCACAGCAAAGAATCTGTTAGCCAGAAATTTGAATGTCTCACGAAACACAGCAAGCGGCTGGAAATTCGCTGCGCACTGCTCCAGCAGAAAATAGGACGTGCGGAAAGAAAACACGGGTGTACGCAGGACGAGCCCGAACTAAGAACTGTCACAGATGTTACTTCGAATAGCCTTTAGTTCTTCCAGCTATCAACATCCTCCTTTCGCAACAGCGGCCATCGAGGGAACCTAAGTTACCTTCATGGAGTCTCAAGCATCAACGAAATTTTTCCGTTCAGAGCACAATACGCGCAAACTTTCCCCTTCAAGATAACAGCGCGTGTGCAGGGGCAAGTCAGGGTAGCGAATTCCTACTGTGGCGGTACTTAAGAGAGCTTTTTTAGAATTACATTCCCAAGAAGAATGGCGAACTTATCAATTTGGGACGTGGCAGGACACGTTGGGAAAGTCTAGGACACTATTGCGCCTTTAGATCGCAGAGTCCCAAAGCCCCAAAATCAAAATATAGCGCGGGTGGCCAGCGATATGCGCCCAACATAGCGCAGGCAGCAATGAAACATTGCGCACTTCTTGCGTAATTTGGTGTACCTGCGCTGGACAAAACGTCACCGGCGTTCGATCCCAGTCTCAAACGTTGCTACTCTTGCGAACACAACAGCATCTTCTCCAACGTAGCAACTAGCGCGGCGACGGTCTTCAAATTATGCCTCTTTCGTCGTCTCCTGCGTGATAATGATCATGTTGCTGTCCTCCCATCTCTACAAACAGGGGTAAATGGTAAGTATTTATTATTTATTTATTCATTCTTCCGTTTATATTGACACGACAATGTTTTATCTCGGGGTTCATCATGGCTCACTCGGCTGATGTATTTCGGTGATGGATTGTGCCTGTTTTGTACCTGTTGGTACAAATTGTGTACCAAGAGGTTGCAAAAAATGCCAGAATAAAAAGCCAGCTGTTGGCCGTTGCATCTACGACCCCTTGCTCCGCAACGCGTGGTGTGAAGCCACTAGATCAAACAGCATACGTTCAGTTTGCGAATAGTGACGCGTTTATATTCACCCTAAACCGTTTAGCAGTCCTCAGAGCTTCGCAAATTTATCATCAGCAGCGAGATGGTGCGAAGTGCGTGCGTTGGACGCGCTCTAAAGATCGTCGCCCGTTGACCTTCGCTGGGCGCACGGGCGTGATCCCTCGTGCATGCGTGCTTATCTCGTGATTCAGGAGCGCATGAAAATCGCTTCGCTCGCTGCCACACTCTGTAAAGCAGCGCGCTGCTGACAGACGATAAAGTAAAAATTGTTACAGTGGTTCGCGCTCGTCCTGTTCGTGCTCTCACAGGAAGACACACGTTCGTTTCGTGTGTGTCACAGCTTTTACTTCCACAGCTTTTATCTGAAGCTGTGGCGGTTGTCAGTTCGCGCTCGTGCTGTCTATGCTTCAATCGCGCACGCTTTCCGCTTGAGCTGCGGGCTCTTAGTTTCGAGCTGCTTGCTTTTCTTCACGTGACATTACAATTTGTTTTTGTAGCATTCATCCATTTACCCTTAGGGTGACCAAATGCACAATAAACGCCCAACTGCTGCTCAGAGGCCATGTTTCACTTTCGTGTTATGCTGATTTTTGCCCAGAAAGATCAGTCACGTTTTCATTATTTTGACACGAAAGTACTTTGTGCAGGATTTCACCCCCACTCCGGTGGCGTATTTCCGTCACGTTTATGACGTAAAATGTATACTAAAATATTGCAAAGAAAAAAATTACACCATCTCCACTAAATCGAACCAGGTGTACTTGCCAACCAGAGGGCGCTAACGCTTGTACTGACGGTGGCGTTGACGCTGGCACTAATCGCGGCATTGCACAGTAGAGAAAATACGCAGTGATGAACCGATGTTTCCTACTGACACTTCCAATTGCTGCGAATGAGCAATGAGAAACAGAAGGCTCCGATTGGGCTCAGAGACACGCAGTCCGCTTTTAGATACCACGCACGCTGCGAATTTTTATGGTCAACAACGCACAGGACAAATTTACTTCTGACGCTAAGTTGGTGGTCAAGATCCAGTGCCAACATATAAGGGGTACCCAGTGAGCGGTTGTGCAGCCTGACCCAGTAGTACACGCTGGCTGCGTCGGTGTTGCGAGGGGAGAAAAGGGGGAGGGGACTCGCCTGCGCAGTGGCGGTGTAAACGCCACGGCAATAGATAGCTAGAAGTGAGGAGTGTGCGTAGGCTGGTAGACATTGGCTGGTTGCGAGGCGAGAGAGGGGAGAGCACAGGAGAGAAAACTGAGAGTGCGGGTACATGCGCAATGAAGCGCAGATGCCGTAAGATTAACCTCGCTCATAAGATGAGCACTGCGCCGTGCTCCCGACCGGGTTGCAGAAATTAGGTGCCTTTTCTCATCTTCTAACCACTACCACCACCACCATAAGATATTTTGCGCCTAAAAACGAGAAAGTTCCGCAGCAGGGTGACGAAGCAGCGACTCCGCACTTATCAATGCGTGAGGCTAAATAAGTTAATGGCGAGCCATTGATATACATCATGTACTGCTGGCTGCCGTCCTCAGAGCTCCTGAACTTCAGCATGTTATTTTCATCAGTAACAAGACGGCGTGACGGGTGCGCGTGCCTTCAAGGACGCAGTGCCGCGCCACCAAGGGCGTCGCTATGCGCGCGCGTTTCTACATGGCGTGATCCAATTGCGTATAGATGTCCTTTTGAATGGGGATTCACTCACACACGCACTTATCACGGGATTCGGACACTTTTACCGCTTGTGCGTTGGCCGAAAGTTTGCTTTGAAGTTACAGTAGTTAGAAAGAGCACAAACGTCACTACCCTCGCTGCCGCGGCCATGTTTACGAAAGGAGTGCGCTGCTCACGCATGAAAAGGAGGGCGATGACAGTTGTTGGCGCTCGTCGTGTGTGTACGTGTGCGTTTATTTGTGCGCTTATCTCTCTGTTTAAGCAGCGTGCTTTAAAAGTCGTTTAAGCATGCTTTGAGTTTAACAATAATTTGTCCGCGCTCGTCTTGTGTAAGCTCATTTCGTGCGTGCTCTCTGCTTAAGATGTGCGTTGCAAGTCGAAATGCTTGCCGTTTTTTTTTAGCGTGACATTGCTAATTGTTGCTGTAGCATTCATTCCTTCGCAGTGAAACAATGCGCAATGAACACTCAACTACGTCTGCGAAGACGCGTTTTATTCATGGCAACTTTTAGGGCGAAATAAAGATGAGAGGCGGACAAGCGCAAACTATAAACTAATTTCATTTGAAAGACACACATATATACGTGAGCAAAAACGGTCATGAGTCACATTATGAAAAGATAAATTTCATTTCAGGCAGGCGCTCAAGTAATCTAGGCCCCGCCACGGTGGTCTAGTGGCTAAAGTACTCGGCTGCTGCATTTCCGATGGAAGCGGAAATGTTGTAGGCCCGTGTGCTCAGGTTTGGGTGCACGTTAAAGAACCCCAGGTGGTCGAAACTTCCGGAGCCCTCCACTACGGCGGCTCTCATAATCATATGGTCGTTTTGGGACGTTAAACCCCACAAGTTAATCAATCAATTAATCGAGTAATCTAGCCCAGTGGCACGCAACATCTGCCTGTAGTCTTTATTTTGAGATAAAAGCTACCAGAAAAATGAACCAACTTGCTCAATAAGTCACGCTACGATTTAGATTTCTGTCATACCAATTCTTAAAAAGGGGGATCTCCCACGTTTTCGGAATACTTCACAAAAAAAGTACAAATAAGGTTAGCGGAGTGCATGCGGAAATCCACACAAAGTAACAGAATGAAACAAGGATTAACAGGGCTCTTAACTAATTCTTTGGACATACTGCGGAAGGTTAAGACTTCGGGAATAGAAAAATTGAACAACCTTGTTATAATACACTTACAAAAATTATGAAAGCACGACTGTTTTAGGGCAGTGGAATCGTTTGCATCTCACGAGATTTGGGAGAATGCTTGGATTAGTTCATTTTAATTCGAAACTGTGCGAAAAAAGTACCGTAAAGCGTCGGTATTTGCTGAGACTGTCATTACAGAATGAGGACAGTCGTGATGAGAGGGTCTGCATAACAAGGGGAATGTGCATACTTCAGTGCCGCAGAACAGTTTGTGGTTAACTATGTCTGAAAAAAAAACGTGGGCAAGTTTTTTCTTCGAATTTCTAGTACTCCAATATCATTTACAGTTTGCACTGCATTGGGCTAATTGTTTGACATATATTCGCTATAACGTAAACGTACGATTACCCCTTCAGTCACGGCGCACAGTACAGAACCTAGAAAGTGCATCCCACGCCACCTGTTTCTTTAAACGGTCTGAAACTCCGTGTGCACATTTCTGCAGGCTTTTTGAGTGGACAAAATGCGTTCACTTAATTTCATTGTGCTGCGTATTGCTGCAAAGGATGACCTTGCTGCAGACACTACCATGTGGTACGATCGTTCAACGTGCCGCGTTCCAGGTTCAATGCGAAACTTTTTTTTCCTGCGCTCAAAACGAATACAACCAAAAACAAACAGTCGCGCATTTCAGGCAATATAGTTGATTATTTTTATGCAAGTATTGAAGCTGGCTCATGGCAGGATAACTAGATAAATATATACCCACAAAATAACCTTAATTATTAAAGCTCGCAAAAAACAGCACATTTCTGCATTTTCTTTCTTGTAATGTACTACTAAGTGCCTTGGAACTACGCGAGGCGAGATTCAGCGTTTCTCACTCTAATGTA